CACGAAATTTGGCATAAGATTCTGAATTAAGCCTTGAACAATGTGTGTTACATTTCGTGAAAGTCGATTCAGATTTAGATATAGCTCCCATATATTCGTCCGATTTTAGGTAAATAGTGCACCAAAGTCCCGATATACACGAAATTTGGATTTATAAGTAAATGAAGAACTCAAGATGTGGCCGAATGCAAAAACATACTGAAATTAGTGTAACCTAACATGTGACAAGTTTCGATGAAATCGGTTTAGATTTCGATATTTTGCTTAAAATTTATTTACATAATTTTGTCCCATTGTAAGAAGCAACTCTATATCTGACCAAAATTTAGTATATGTTGCAGAATGACATGTCCCGTCCGACTTTACTACTTTCCTTACTGGTTTAAGAATATTTTTTCAAGCTTCTATAGGAGGTGTGGATTTTTTTAGGAATATTTTGTTTTAAGCTTCCACGATAGGTGTGGATTTTTTAAGAGTATTTTTGTAAGGTTCCACAATAGGTGTGGATTTTTTAAGGGTATTTTTTAAGTTTCCACAGAATCGTGAATTTTTTTAAGAATATTTTTTCAAGCTTCCACAAGAGGCATGGTTTTTGTACAATTTTTTTCTAACATTCGCAAGAGATTTTTTAAATAATTTTTTTAAGCTTCCACAAGAGGGTTGGATGTTTTAATTAATATTTTCAAGAAGGAATCAACCATAGGCTCATAAGGCTTAGATTTTTGAGGGATATTTTTTTCAAAGATCCACAAAATGCGTGAATTTTTTAAGGTATATTTTTTTTTAATGATACACAAAATGCGCGGATTTATTAAAGGATATTGTTTTTTTAAGAATATTTTTAAAGGATAATTTTCTTCTTTAATTGGAATATTTTGCTTTACGTAAAACCAAACGTATTTTCAATATCACATCTTCTTCTCACTTCTTTGTGTTTCTCGTTATTTCTTTCTTCATAATAATATTCAATATTTATGGCTTCTCGTCCATTTAATAAATTCGTATTCAATGAAACCTATGGGCAATAACATTGATTTGATACTATGCCATAATTACATGGAAGCCAAGTAATAAACAATTTCTAATAGAATTTGTAATTTCTTTGAAAATGAAAAACATTTGAACAATTTCGGGGAAATTTCATGTGAACAATTTAGAAAGTAGCTATAATTCCTTAATGACCAAGAAATATTAAATATAACAAGTAAAAACTTGGCCGGGTCGAATTGTTTATTCCCTCCAAAAAATACTCATACTTGATCCAGCTTTTTTATAGGAGGGCTATGAAATGGTACTGACAGCAATTCCAAAGAAAAACTGAAATACCACTTAGGATGGAAATTGGGCTAGGATTTTGAACCTACCGCAAATGTCGAGTATCATATAGTCGATGTCGCCCAGCTTTTGTACTTTTCTTATTGGCTCGTTTTTAACATGGGTTCTTCTTGTCTACTTCTGAATTATATGTTTTGTATTACACCATACATATTCTCTATTTTTTGCCAATGGTTTCACTTATTTTACACAAAATATTTATTCCTCCTCTTAAAACTCCCAGGCTGGCAACAAAAATTCTTTTCATTAAAAATTGCTAAAGTTTTTGGCATTTTTCGATTGTGATGGCATGGCATGAGCATGAACATGATAAAATATTTTATTGAATTTCGTTTTCGCTGTGCTCCTACTCAACGTACCAAAAATTTACGATTGGAAAAACAATAAATTACAAATTGTTAAAAAAGGCGAAAAGAATTTCGAACATTTAAATATTGAAGCGAAAAAAAATTAAAATAGGTATGTGTATTTTCGTAACCATTCCTGTCCTCTTCTTACTGGGCAAACAATTATTGTTGCTATCTCACGCACAATGCCATCCCGTCTTCCGATTGTTATCAACACTTTGTGTAATTACCGTTTTCCTAACTATCGCTATGTATACATCGTCAGGTTGGTTGTTATTTTTGCGCCCAGGTAATTTTTCCAGCAATAAATGACGACAATGATGATGATGACAACTTTTCTGGTCGTTACATTTTATTGCCATCTCCCCTTTCCCCTCCGCCTTCCCTATCCCATTTACATTAAAATTTGTACATTTGCTCATTTGGTGTTGCCCGCTTGCTGGATGGGTGGTGTTACGCATTTCTTAGCAAATAAATTTCGGTTTCGACTTCCGTTTCACATTCATTCGAGCATTGTGTAGTTTTTTCCCGGGCACTTGTTGTTGTCGTTGCTGTTTGTGTTTTTTCATTAAATGTCATAAACTTTATTTAACTCGTCATTAGTAGCACATTACTTAAAGTAATTTACAATGTGAAATGTAAGCTTCTTTCAGTTGGTTGAGTGTGTGTGTGTGAGAGAGAATTTTTTTCATGGTATGTAAGTGTGTGAGAGTTAAGGAAGTGGGAAGGAATGTTCTGTTGTATTTTTTTTAAATTCACGACATTGAAGGGAATTTTTCAAAATGGAAGATTTTAATAAGAAGATTTACATTTCATTGAAAACCAGTAAAGAACATATCCGACTATATGATACCCTTCACCACTTTGGTGCATACAAGAGATGATAATGTGTACAATAGCCTGTAGATAGAAGAGACATAGTATCTTTGGAAGATCATTGAAATGGAATCGGAAGAAAACAATTGTGATCTACATAGATATTTGAACCAATAATAATCAACACATACCATTCTGAAATCTATGAAAAATTGCATGTCAATCGCGAAGACTTGGATTTGTTGGTGAAACATTTCATACAAATGCAAAATTAGGTATGTAGGCCTGAACCGATTTCAACAAAACACCATCATTTTGTCTGAATCGGACAAATATTGGGAGTTTGGTGCACCATATACATGAAATCGGACGAAACTATATATGAGAGTTATATCTAAATCTGGACCGATTTCAACAAAACTTCCCAGACGTAAACTGGACTGAATTCAGTACGCTGTGCAAAATTTTGTTTCAATCAGGCAAACCTTTGGAGTTTGGTGCACTATTTCCATAAAATCGCACGATATGGGATATGGGATCAATATCTAAATCTGAACCGATTTTCTCAAATTTCAATAAAGTTCGTCCATGAGTCAAATAAGTGACTAGTGTCAAATTTCATCCAAATCGGATAATAAATGCGACCTATACTTTGTTTACAATTTAACATCAGCAGACGGACGAAAATGCATTAATCGACTCAGAAAGTGATTCTATGTATAGTCCCAAAAGGGTCTATATCGTTTCGTTATGTCTGTTACAAAGATACACGGTACATATTTGTTCCGACATTAATAAATACATACCAATGTCGTTGGGCAAACTATTCAAAACGTTATGTTAATCGGACTGACGTGCATGAAATCTGCAAAAAATATATATGGGAGTTACATTTAAATCTGAACAGATTTAAACAATACCGTACACAGGTTATTAAATGCTCAATATATATCTATATCTGATCCGAATTCGAATTCAAACTTAGTACTTGTCATTCAATGTTCAACCTGGCAAATTGTGCAAAATTTCCTTTCGATCGAACAGAAAAAACGATGTATATTAAGTTTGGGAAAAAGCAATCCGGTCGTCGAAAATGTCGATAAAATCGGAGTAATTATCGAAGTTGACCGGCAGTTTGCAGCCGTAACATCGCCCAGGTGCTAACAATCGAACATAAAACTGTTTTAAACCATTTACACCAAGCTGGATTCAAAAAGAAGATCGGTGTTTGAGTGTTATACCAATTAAAGGAAAAAAATAGGATGGATCAAATTTCCATCTGTGAAGCCTTGGCCAAATGGAATGAGATAGATTCGATAACCCTGCGCGAAAACGATCGTGGTGAAAGAGGGGTTAAGCACCTCAAACAGTGGCCAAATCAGGACTAAAGGCCAGGAAGGTTCTTTTATGCATTTGGTGGGACTGGAAGGGAATTATTTATTATGAGTTGATTTCATATGGCCAAACGCTAAATTCTGATCTCTACTGTCAACAACTAGACCGTTTGAACATAGCAATTGACCAGAAACGGCCAGAATTGGGAAACAGTAGTGTTGCCGTGCTCCACCAGGACAACGCTAGGCCACACACATCTATAGCTATTCGTCAGAAACTTCGGGAGCTTGGTTGGGAAGTTTTAATGCATCCGCCGTACAGTCACCAAGCCATTAAGATATTTTCTTGAATTGTAAAATTTCTTTAAAGATAAATAATTGGTATCTAGGGAGGATTGTGAAAATCGACTACTAGAGTTGTTTGCAAATAGAGAGCAGGTACCTTTAAAATGGCAACAAATCATACAACAAAACGGTGCATATTTCCCTTTGTTTCCCCAACCTAATATTTTCTTATTTACTTTTGTATGTTAAACTTTACCGTAATGTGATTCATATACAAATAGTCAGATTATATCAAATACTATCTAGTCTAATAAGTTATAGTCTATATTATTTTAATATTCCCTCTAGGCTATCACAAAATAATGCCTATGAAATTCTCCGCTCTATCTAAATATTCTCCGCTCGTCTATTAAATACTCCCCTCAGCTCGACTATGATAGACTGCCTTTGGTTCGTCCATAGAAGATACCCGTCAGCTCGTCTATGAAATACTCCCTCCAGCTTTTCATATTTCCCATTATTTAAAATAAATGACATTAATGACTTTGTCATCAACAGTTGGTCAATTAATTGTAATAAATAACCAAAATCAATTATAATTCGTAAATTTCGTTGGTTTTTAAGCATGGAACCACAAAGAGCATTTACTTCCTGATTATTACTTACACCCACCCACTTACTCCCCACGCATTTTGCGTAATATTTTAATTGATTTTTATTTTTCTAATTATTTATGGTCTTTGTTTATCTTTCTTTATAATGACGCTCCTACATCGTTTTTTTCTTTTTTGAGAAATTAATTAGCAAAATTTATTAAAATATTTTGTATTTTTTCTCTCTACTTCTTGTTAATTTAAATATAAATTTCCATTGATACACTTACCGACACAAGTGCCGCAGTGACATAACGCCATAGACCTGTTCCTTGGGTATAATTTTGTCCATTAATAATCGGCCATAACGTTGGAAAAACATTTCTCGTCTTGTACTATAAATAATGGGCTGAAAGAATTGGATGACAAAACAAGGGGAGAAAGAAGATAACAAAAATAGAAATGAGAGAATATTACCGCATACAGAAGTAGCAAAATGAATTAAAGAAAAAATTTAAAGTACAATAATATCGTATTTATTTAAATTTTCTTAATGAGATATATATTCCAATTTGAATACAAAAATGAATGAAATACGCTTAATGAAACTAATTATTGGATGAATGATGGAAAAAACGAAAAGACGCCAAAGGACAATTTAAGTGGTTTTCCTTTTTTGGGATAATAATAATTGTAATAAATATGAGGGGCTATTTATAGAAGGGACGAGGGAAGGGGAATAGAAGGAGATGGATAAAGGATACTGGAAGTCTTAATAAACGAGGGAGAGGCTGTAGATTGTATTTATAAGCGAGCTGAAGGGAGGTTTTCATTGGGAAGGTAAAGTGTGACTTTCACACACGAGCATAGACGAGCTGAAAGGACACTTTCATAGACGAGCTGAAGGGAGTCTTTCATAGACGAGCTGAAGGGAGTCTTTCATAGACGAGCCGAAGGGAGTCTTTCATAGACGAGCTGAAGGGAGTCTTTCATAGACGAGCTGAAGGGAGTCTTTCATAGACGAGCTGAAGGGAGTCTTTCATAGACGAGCTGAAGGGAGTCTTTCATAGACGAGCTGAAGGGAGTCTTTCATAGACGAGCTGAAGGGAGTCTTTCATAGACGAGCTGAAGGGAGTCTTTCATAGACGAGCTGAAGGGAGTCTTTCATAGACGAGCTGAAGGGAGTCTTTCATAGACGAGCTGAAGGGAGTCTTTCATAGACGAGCTGAAGGGAGTCTTTCATAGACGAGCTGAAGGGAGTCTATCATAGACGAGCTGAAGGGAGTCTTTCATAGACGAGCTGAAGGGACACTTTCAAAGACGAGCAGGGAGTCTGCATAGAAAATTTAAAAGCTGGGAATCCTTTATAGTCGATTTGAAGCTTGGAATCTATTAACAAACTTCCTAAATCAGGAACTATTTCATACAGAAAATAAAGCAGGAAAATTCATAGAGAAAATTAAAGTTATGGAGTTTTTTATAGACAACCTGTGAATCTTAATAGAGTTGTAGTCTTGGGAGTCTTTGTTGACTACATGAAGAGCTGCTATTATTTAGCAGAAGGCCTGAAGTAGATTTTATAAACATGGTCTGAGAATTTTTCGAGACGAGCTGAAGGTTTGGGAACCTATATGAACGAGTGATAGTCCTTATGGATAAACTGTGGGCCTGGGAGTCTTTGTTAACAACCTGAAGGTCTAAGAACAGGAGACGTAAAAACAGAAATTTTTATAGCTAAAATAAAGACCTAGGAATTTTTCTAGACGAACAGAAAGCCGTGAAGATTTTATAGGAAAGCTGAAGGTCTGAGAGTTTTTAAATGGGGAGTGGAACTCCTTGTACTCTTTACAGACGCGATGAATGACTGGAAGTGTTTATAAAAGAGCTGAAGTCCTGGAGAGATTTTATATAAAGGCTGAAGATCTGAGAGTTATAAGAATCGAGCTGAAATTCTTCGCCTCTTAATAAATAAAAGGCCAGAGAGATTTTATATGCCGTCTGAGAAGAGAACCCAAACGACAAGAACTTGAACTTGAGAATCTTACGCAAACGACCTTATGGCGAGGAGTCTATATAGATAACCTGATGACCTGGGGTCTGTATATAAAAAAAAAAACAAAAAACAGAAATCCTGAGAGAGATTTTATAGACAATATCTGAGATCTGAGAGTTTTAAGAATCGAGCTGAAATCCTTGGCATCTTAATAAATAAAAGGCCAGAGAGATTTTATATGCCGTCTGAGAAGAGAACCCAAACGACAAGAACTTGAACTTGAGAATCTTACGCAAACGACCTTATGGCGAGGAGTCTATATAGATAACCTGATGACCTGGGGTCTTTATAAAAAAAAAACATAAATCCTGAAAGAGATTTTATAAACAATATAAAAACGTTTGTGAGCTTTTAGAGACGAGCTGAAGGTTTGGTAGTCTTTCTTAAGCGACATGAAGGCAGGGAGTTTTTATAGACGAGTTAAAGTCTACTATGCCTTTCGCAAATGAGTCTATAAAAAACTGGAACTCTTGGTGTCTTTATGAACGAGCTGAAGGCCTGAAGTCTTTACAGATGATCTGCACGAAGTGAAGGTCTTGGACACTTTATGAAGGTGAAGGTTTTGGACATAGACGAGCCTTGGAGTCGTTATAAACGATCAGAAGGCCTGGGACTCGTTACAGACGATCTGAACGAAATGAAGGCTTTGGGGACTTTATTGGCGACCTGATAGTATGCGAGTCTTTCTCAGACAACTACAAGCACACTAGCGAGCCATGAGTAGTGTATATTAATTAGTTGTTTATTTATTACCTCCCGATCATATTCCTATAGAAAAATTAAATAGAAAATAAACTTTATATTTACATTTAAATCTGATGTATGAGATGATTAAACATTGTAAAAATGTATGCAGTCGTCTTTAGTTCCCCAGCCTTTTCTGGTCGCCTTCTTGACTAATCGAAAAATATTAATTTCCCTCTGCTTGACAATCTCTCAACCCTCAAACTGTGTGAAACGGAAACAACTTAAGGCTGCTTTACGGAATCGCTCTAATGGAATATGCTGCCATCCCGAATTGTTGCCAGAACGGAAATGTGTGTTTCATAGCTGCATGACAATAATGTTCATGAAAAAGAATTTTTTAATATATAACCGCCTCAACCCCCCACCGGTAATATTTTTTGACACTCACAGAAAATACCAAGAAGTAGAAGATGAAAAAAATATTAGTTATGAAAAGCATTATAACCATTGCCAACACTACCACCACTGTCATTTTGACAAGAATGCATACCAAATATTTGGTTAAAAATGACATCATTTTTTTTTTTGGTTTGGAATGACAAACGTTTCTTGAAATTCTGTTCCGCGAAAACCATAAGAATTTTTCGAATTCTTTCAAGTACTTGAGGTTTTGACATAAGTAGAGAAATTTGTACACACATACATGTATATATTTTAATCGATATGTGGGAGAGGAAGATAGATGTGGATAAATGAACAGTGGTTAAGAGGCGATAAAATTTACACAGAACATTAGGGATTTAAAGGTAACAACATCAATGACTTTATAGACGAAACTTATTGTCTTAAGGGGGGAGGAAAGGGTGTAATCGGACTCCAGAAGGATGAAGTCCCCTGAACTAAGATACAGATTAAATACCGATTTATAAATATGGATGTAACATTCAGAGCAGGAATAATTCCATACTCTTTAAAGAATAAGACTTCCCAATTATAACCCACTACTTCCATTATTTGCAGATTGTTCCTAGTTCAAATACTTTCTTAAAAGGACTTCCATCTTCAACATTTTGTTTCCTTCCGTAAAATATATATTTTACAACTCCCTCATAAAATCAACTACTGTGTCAGTACACCACAGTCTATAATTCATTCCTCTTGTTTCCCCTTTGACTCCCTCTTTATAAATAATATAAGTATGCTATGAAAACTTATAATATATAGCATTATATATACATACATACCTTATATGGCAATTCAATTAACGGTATATTACGCAAAAGTATTTGCAAGCATGAGACATTTTGATAAACATAATTACGGCCATTTTCAGTCAATTTATCAAGTAATGCCAGTACAGCAGATGAACCACCATCCGGTGGATTAGGATTGGCGCCATATCTGTAAACGAATAGAAGAAGATGAAGAAAGAACAAAAGGGAAAATAACATTATAAAAGGAAAAACTCAATTGACGTTGTGCTATTAAATGTTTTAAAAAGTCATGCAGTAATGGATGCGTGAAATTTGAAGAAATTTTCATCTTATCACACGAGTGACAAGGCGACATCCTGACACTGAGTCAATAAATTTGTAAAGAACATTTTTGAGGTAGATTAATTTTGTGAAAAAGGGGATACAATATTTTGACACTTTAATTTAATGGAAATTCGGAAAACTAGAAGAAGCTTCACGAAACGTGGAGCCTTTATAGATGAACTGACAATGGAGACTTTCTTTACACACGTTGAAGGCTATGAAGTTTATGGAGAAGTCTAACTCTTTACTTACGACCAAAAAGGAATCTTTATGGAGGAACATTAAGGAATTAAAGACAATTCTTATAGAAGGGATTCTTCCAGAGACGAGTTGAAGGTGTCTTTTATAGACAACCTGAAGGGAGTCTTGTATAGACAAGCTGAAGCAAGGAGTCTGTCATAGACGAGGTGAAGAGAGTCTTCTATATACGGTCTTAAGGGATGAACTAAAGAATACCTTTTATAGAATAGTTGAAGTGAATCTTTTATAGACGTTCTAAAGCAGAGATTCTTTTATAGACGAGCTGAGGGAGTCTGTTATAGACGAGATGAAAGGAGTCTTTCGTAGACGAGCTTCATAGGCGAGCTCAAGGGAGTATTTTATAGACGAGCCAAAGCAGAGTGTCTTTCATAGGCGAGACCAGTTGAAGGTATTGTTTTAAAGACGATCAGAAAACGGCAGTGCTTCATAGACGAGCTGATGTCGGAAATGTTTCATAGACGAGCTGAAGAGAGTCTTTCATAAACGAGCTCTGAAGGAAGCCGTTAAAGACGAGCTGAAGGAAATCTCTATAAACGAGTTAAAGGGACTGTTTACTCATGAAATGGAGGGTGTATCTATAGAAGATCGGAGTAGTTTCAGATAAACTATACGGAGTCTTAAAGGACGATCCGAAGGGTGTCTTTATAGACGAGAGAAAAAGGGGGACTTTATAAAAGAGCTTATGATCCTCGCAGACGAGGGGGGATGCTTTTGAAATAGTAAAATACAGGGTATTTATAGGCAATCAGAATCAGAAAATTTTATAGGAGCTGAATTATGAAGACTTCATTGACGACTTGAACTATAGAAATCGTGGAGAAGCTGAAGAACAATATTTTTGAAGTCGATTTTTTAAAGAATTATAGTCCTTGCTACGACATTCAAATTATATATATATATACATTCACATTTAGATATATTAGATGTATTGTCGGCCCCGTCCGACTTTACATTACTGGTTATTATATTATATATATATATATATATCAGGCTTAAACCCAGTTTGTTGTTTTTATAAAAAACAACTATTTATTAGAGAGAATGTACCTGTCCGCCGAGGGGTAGGGAGGATCGCCACTGATTCATAGTTCCCTTAGTTTTTTGGGGATATTCTCCCCAGAAGCTATTAATAGCTTCTTTACAAAAAACCTTTCAAACCCAAATGTCTCTTGTGACAAATCGAAGTTCTTACGTTACCAGCGATACGACCCCAATGAGAAGTTCGTTTCGTTGGCGCCTGACTTCGTGGTCAACAAGGCATTTACAGACAATTACAATACATTTCCCACTGCTATGTGTCGTCACTTTGTGACGAATGCACATAACGTTGCTGTTGGTATTGCTAGTTAAAGCAATAAACCAAACAGTATGACCGTGCCTCGTCTACAACTTCAGTAGTGTTGGCGGGTTATTTGGCATACCATTTGTATTTTGTTTTTGCAAAATAGTCAGGCTTAATCCCAGTTTGTTGTTTTTATAAAAAACAACTATTTATTAGTGGGGAATGTATGGCATTCGGATCTCGCCACTGATCCTCATCAGTTCCCTTAGCTTTTTGTTGGGATATTCTCCCCAGAAGCTATTAATAGCTTCTTTACAAAAAACCTTTCAAACCCAAATGTCTCTTGTGACAAATCGAAGTTCTTACGTTACCAGCGATACGACCCCAATGAGAAGTTGTTTCGTTGGCGCCTGACTTCGTGGTCAACAAGGCATTTACAGACAATTACAATACATTTCCCACTGCTATGTGTCGTCACTTTGTGACGATATGCACATAACGTTGCTGTTGGTATTGCTAGTTAAAGCAATAAACCAAACAGTATGACCGTGCCTCGTCTACAACTTCAGTAGTGTTGGCGGGTTATTTGGCATATGTATTTTGTTTTTTACACGAAATTTGTTGTTTTTATAAAAAACAACTATTTATTGTGGGGAATGTAGAATGATGTCTGCCAAGTTTCGTGAAAATTGGTCCAGATTTAGTTATAGCTCCAGACATTTGGGTTTGAATAGGTTTTTTGTAAAGAAGCTATTAATAGCTTCTAAATGTTTAATGTAATATATATATATATATATATATCGCTCCCTTATATTGCTGATGGACTATTTTGCAAAAACAAAATGCACTATAGGACTTTATTTAACATGCTTTGGAATGTATCTTCATAATGTCTCTCTCATAGAAGACCTGCTCTCTATGTGCAAATTAGTAGTCGATTTTCACAATCCTTCCTAGATACCAATTTTTTATCATTAAGGAAATTTTGCAATGCAAGAAAAAAAATGATAATCGCTTGGTGCCAAGTCCGGACTTTATGGCGGATGCATTAAAACTCCCCAGCCATGCTCCCGAAGTTTCTGGTGAGTCACTGTAGATTTGTGTGGCATACCGTTGTCCTGGTGGCATACCGTTGTCCCTGTTTGCCACTTCTGGAGTTTCTGGTCAGGTGCTATCTTCAAACGGTCCAGTTATTGACAATAGAGATCAGAATTTCGCGTTTGGTCATATGGAAGCAACTCATAATAAGTAATCCTCTTTCAATCCGACCAAATACATAGCTGGCCGTTAGTTCTGGTTTGGCCACCATTTGAAGCGCTTCAACGCTCTTTGACCACTGCCTAGGGTTAATCGTATGTGATCTATTTCTCATCTCCAGTCACCATCCGTTTAAGAAATGCGTCTATCTCATTCCGTTTGGCCAAGGCCTCTGCCATCCTATTTTTTCTGTTAATTGGTGTGGCACCCAAACATCTATCTTCTTTTTGAATCCAGCTTTGTGTAAATGGTTTAAATCAGTTTTATGGTTGATTTTTAGCTCCTTGTCGATGTTATGACTGCTAACATGCCGGTCAACTTCGACCATTTCTCCGATTTTATCGAAATTTTCGACGACCGGATTTCTTTTTCTCCAACCTAATATATGGCAAATTTCCTCCCAAATCCTCTTCTTCTGTATCTCTTCTGATGTCCTGATTTCACTTAGTCCTCAAAAGCGCCCTGTTTCAGTTACAATTGATTGTCTTTGTTACATTTTCCTTGAGCATTTTTATAAATCAGAATTTTATCTAATTTTCCTAAAATCTTTATTATGCTCACTGGCTTATGTATATAAAATTAATTTCTTTATTTGTTTAAATGTTATAATTCCCTAAAGACTTCAAACCATACATGCATACATTTACAATTTGGTGAAGAAATTGAGAAGGGCTGCATGTGTGTGTATTTGAGTCTACGGTACAATGTGTTGCCACACATTCCGCTGTCTACAATGGAACGAAACAGAAAACAACACATTTTCGCAATATTACTTCTATTCCCGGCAGGATTGTTTTTTTTGGAAACAATTTAATTTTAGCGTGTCGTCAAATGTATACACCCTCCTCAAAAAGGCAAAGGAATTGTACACATAATTGATTTTAAATTTTATAAATTTAAAGAAAATATCTCATTTAGGCATACACAAGACATTAAATTTTGGAACAATTTTATTCAACCAAAATTCTTAAAATTTAATATTACAATTATAATCAATTTATATCATATTCCATACAACCATGACGACATATTTATAAAATGCAAATCTATAAATATACCGATGTACATGAGAGGAACACCTGTTTTAATCATATGTACCCCTATGAATGAATTCATTTCACTAATCTCCCAATGGAAGAGCAATCGAAAAATACAAATTTGGCAAATTCCACCCATGTACACCTTGTATTTGTCATTTACCAATTTTTGGGAATATATATGAATATTAAATCGTTGTTGTCTATTTTGCAACATTTATCATATTATAGACACAATTTGGCGCCACATTTCGATACAGATATATTTTGGCAAAATATTTTTCATATGGTAATTCCAGAAATGTGATTTAGAAATATGATATAAATTCTGAGAATTGAAATTGTCTTTCTGTGGGAATATTAAAAGATAAATTTGCATTTAAATTATCCAAATGATAAAATATGCACACAATAATATTCGGAAGGGGCGACATTAATCGAATGACATACGTAATAAAATTCGGAATAACATATTGATGAGTGTGTGTGCATAACATTAAACAAATATGATATTCCATAAAGAAATTAGAAGCAGTGAGGAAAAAATATTCAAAAAATATGGCCCTTTAAATGATATTCTTTCAAAAACCATAAAGAGCATGCAAAATATTCTTTAAAAAAATCAAAGCCTACTATTGTCCTTGAAAATAATCTATAAAAATTTTTTAAATAAATCTAAGCCAACTATTGTCCTTGAAAAATATTCTTTAATAAATCCAAAATCTTTGTATAAGTCCTTGAAAAAAATATTCTTTAAAAAATCCAGGCCTTGTGCTAGTTCTTGAAAAAATTTGAAAAGTCCACTCCTGTATTGGTCCTTCAACAAATATTCGTTAAATATCCACCCCTATGTTTATACCCTACACCACACTGCGGTACAGGGTATTATGTCTTTGTGCATGTGTTTATATCAGGCAAAAATAATCGAGATAGACCTATGGTCCCTTTTAAGAATATGCATAGAATCACTTTCTGAGTCGATTTATGCATGTCCGTCTGTCCATGTTAAATTGTAAACAAAGTGCA